CTTTGAAAACAATCTTTGGTAATTATCCTCAAACCCCGTAATTCCCACCCTGCTCAGACATTCACCTTTCCTATTTTCCTTGCAATATTCTACTTCCACTACACGCTCTACAATTAAATATGCTCTTCAAAATTTAGTCACTTTTGTATCAGTCTGGCTGAGTTGGTTGCACTCCGGTTGTGGGTTCAAACTTCTGACTCAGAGGCAAGAGAACTCCTGCAGACTAAACAGAAGTTATTCAACATGTGTTCCAGATCCTCTCGTCTGGAGTTGCAACTCATGTTGAATAAGCTCTCAGTTTAGTCCACATGAGTTCTAAGTTCTGATGAGGGGTTTGAACCCAACCAGTGCTGGGATGTGCTGCATTGTTGGAAATGCTGTCCTTTGGACGAGATGTTAAACCGAGGTCCTGTCTGCCTGTTCAGGGGTTGGGGGGGGGGGGGGGGGGGGAAGAAGTGTCAACTGGGCTAAGAATTGCAACACACAAAATCTTTTTATTGAAAAACATGACAACAATTTGTCTTAAAATTCCTTGGATAAATTGTTAAAATGTCTTCTAATCTCCAACTTCTATTAACATTAATAGGAAGCAAGTTACACCCTTGAACATCTGAAGGTGTGAGAATTGTGATGTCACATCCCATGAATTGGGTTTATTGGTAGTGGCAATCTCAATGACAAGCCCTTCGACCAAACTTAACCAGCTGCTTTGAAAGGCAGGATTCTATATTTCTCATGACAACACTGAGATACAGTTCACAAGGAGTTGGCAATGTTTTTCTCGAACACTTCATGTTGCTTTTCACACGTAAAGTAATTCTGCTATTACTTCAGACACATCTCATTATCAAGTCTTTTGCATGGTTTGCACAAATAAGACCCATTCAGAAATTCCCGAAGATCTGTTGTTAGCTTAAGATTCAAAAATTACTTTAGTCTGCAATACACAACATTATTTATACTGGAATAAAGACTACTCCTCCATTACTATGTGATGATAGTTATTGCTTCAGTCAAACAATTTATGAATACATACAGATTTAAGCTTCTTCTTAAACTCATCCTACTTGTGCTTTGTTGCTTCTTTACATTCTGATCAGCTGCTCAATGGATGATTATACCAACTTGCCCATCCGTGTGTTAGCGCAGCTTTGCCATGTACCATTTGCAAAGAGAGAATTACTGATGACAGAGAGGATTCTCCTCTCCAAGTCAGAAGGCAGTTGGTTCAAGCCCCATGTTGGATTCCGCACTACAAGTGGTTGCAAAACAGTAGAATGTAAGAAATAAAGGTGTGGTTAGTGTTGGATACCTTTTAAGAAAATAAGGACCAATTGACTAGGACTAATGGAAGGAGACCAGGAGGTAGAAACCCAGGAAGCAGGGAGAACTGACTGGAGAGTTTTTGGTTGGATTCTTTGATTTGCAACTTGTGAGCTGAGAATAAAATAGTTTTCTACACATTGAGTGTTGAGAACGTAACAGATAGAGCTTACGGATCAAGAGCTTGCTGGCCAGAATCCGTGCTCAGTTTGACTGGGCCTCCATGGAAGGCTAAATTGGCCCCAGCCTTCCAAAAGTTAGAGACAGAAAAACCAGCCAGAGTGTCTGCTCCCTCTGCAGTCACGCATGTGTGTGGCTGTAGTGTTGGTGGCGCTCAGGCTTGTCTGCGATGCCCTCTTCAATTGAGTAGCCTGCCGAAACTTACTACACATGAACAAGTGCTCACACAGAAACAATTGGGGTGGAATATCAGAAGGCAATCATTGCCTATGGAACTGCACCCCAGCATGATGAGACCATCTCAGGAGCAGACAGGCATATGACCGAGGGGGAAAAAATAATCAGACTTACAAAATATTTAAAAAANGATTGAACATTTTGAAAACCATTACCAAAGTGTACATTTCCTGGCAGCAAAGCTGAATATGTCGAGAACTTTCTTTAATTTTCAAACTCTAGTTAATATCTGTGTTTTTTTNAAAAAAGTGGGCAGATTTCCTATCAATTTCACCTCAGCAAATTTAGCTATGTATTTATGCACATTATTATTATCTCTGGTTATAAATGCCTCTATGGTTTCAATAGTTGGATTTGAATTGTTCCTTTAATCTTCCTTAAATGTACTCAAAGCCTGAATTATCAAATTATCAGCTGATTTTTTTTTGTCTCAGGTTTCATTTGCTCTCAGAAATAACTGCATTCCCTTTTTAAAAAACACAGACCATCTTCATGTGTAAGATCAATTGAACTCATTGCTAAATTTAAAAAGAAATCTGTGAAAATAAGAGTGATCATTTTCATTTTGTACTATACAGAAAAAGTTTAATGGCCAATGTTATCAACATTGTGGTCTGGATGTGATCTACCATTATGGAATTTTGAATCAATTACTGTGCACACTGCTCTCTCTATTCTCAAAAACAATCTTCAGTTGTATTCCTAGGAGCAACAAACTAACAACCTTTATACAAAATACACAGTTCTGACTAGTAAATGTTGGTGTGGCAAAAGCATCATCACAACTACAACAAAGTACATTTGTATAGTGCTTTTCACGTCAGGAGTACGTCCCAAGGCAATGACAATGCAATTATTCATTGAGCTTCCACTAAAAGCATATCAAACACCTGGCATGGGTAGTGCTAGAGAGCAGTAACCCAAACATGGGGTTCTGATAACATTATAGATTCGGGGATTGAAATATCAATGAAACTAAATCTCAAGATATCTGATATTGTGCTGTAGACTAGAATATAGATAGCAGTTAGTTTTCTAGTTTGTAATCTTTTCTGGTCGTAATGTACTTTTTGTGCAATTTAGTAAGTTTTCTTCCATTGGTTAAGGTAGGACTGATGAGTATGAAGAGAGACTCATAAAACTGAATTTCATTCAAATGAAGAAGATTGTGCGAACATGACAAAATGCTGAGAGCAACGGATAATGTAGCTGTAAGTAATCTTTTTGACTTAAGACTGCAAACAGAATAAAACAGAAATAGAGAGCATAGGCTTAAAATAATTAACCTTCAAGCAGGGCAAGAGATTAGAAGAAATCCCAACCAATCCATTTGGACATTGGATTGGATTCCTAAAACAGATTATGTGATTGGGAACAACACTGGTTAGCATTCAAATACTCCAGAGCACAATGAGAGAACGGTCTGTTGAGGGAACATATTTTGTACAGATATTTAGAGTTTTGCAAGATCACCTTTGGGGGACTCAGGAATGCAGAGATAACTCTCAGGTAATTAAACAGGCTGGATTGTGTCCTCATTAGCATAGATTGTTATTGGTTTACAGAAGCAGCTGAATGGACTTTTCTTATTTATGGCTTTTGATATCCTGAAAGGTTCCTTTTTTAATATATATATATATATGCTTATCAAACAGATAGCCTTCCAGCAGGAGTATGCAACAAAAATAAAATGTACAAACACTTTACTAACACATCACAGTTGGAAGGAATTATTCTTGTGGGGAAATGAATTTCTCAACAAAATGTGTTCATTCATAACATATATTAGTGCCTAAAAGAAAATCAAATTACTTAGTTTTAAATTTGACTCAATTTCTTTATCAAGTGTTTAATGTTGCTTTTGTGCATTTAAATATCATTTACATACAGCCACTGTTTTTAACATGTGGAATATTTAACAGGATCAAAGATTATAATTGCACAATAATCTGCACTCAGTTGCTTTAGCATGTCTTAAACCTAATTAATCTTCCTAATCTATAATTTTCCTTGCGGGTTTCATCAAATCTTTGCTTTCCAGAACAGTATGTCAATATTTCAGCATCAAGCAATATCCTCTGATTATTGACTAGAACCCAACTAACAAGTGTCGATGCTGAGACTTACCAGACGACAGATATTAACAATTGCCAAAATCAATGGCTTTTCTAATAGCATTGGGTTTTATGTTCTCACTTCTCAAAGTAGAACTGAATCTGCCTATTATAATGCAAATTGGACAGGAAAGCCTTCCAATCCCAACATTTGCTTTCCAATAGTGCACCTTACACCTACAGCTGAAGGAAATGCAAACTAAAATATAGACACACTCACAACAGGACATTCTCTGATGCAGCAGTGTTTATTCTGCAATTATCCTGGTGTCTGTCCTTTATAATTTGCTGCTGGTTGTGCATGGTTGGTTATAGCATCTACAATCTCATGAGTGCACACAATGATCTCATTATGCATCATATGTAATGTTATCCTATGCTGAAGTCCACCAAAACTAGGATAAATATACAACACTGTAAATATGGTTGAGTTCTGACACTGCATTTAATTCTAAGATATTGCTCGTAATTTTAGGGCAGATACCAGAAAGAGCTGGAAGCACATTTTGGATTCCTTGGATAAATCAGTGTGCCCCAACCAAATGCACTAGAAACATACCTGTTAATGACTAAGTATGTTTTAACAGGAGTCAAACTTATGTGTGAAGCTTACTTGGAAGATGTTGTTGGTGTAAATATATCACTCTGTCAAGGGTTGCATGTCCAGGGTGCATTTAGGAGGCAGATGCAGAAACCACAAGACTTGATGGCTAACTGCATCTCACCAGATAGGAAGCCTCATTAAACTGAAGTTGATTGCACTTCTGCTTGGGTAGCAAGGTTGCAAGTTAAACCCAGAATTAATTGTAAAATAGTTACATGTCCAAAATTAACTGAGCAAATAGCAATACAACTCAACACTGGAACATTACTACCTTCAACATCACAATTTTGATTCCTGCACAATAAAGAATTAGAGAGTTGAGCACTTTGTGATGGTAAACAGTTTAATGTTTTCACCATCAGCATTTTCACCAAACTCACAGAAGATATTTTATTATTTAATGTATTCAACCAAAGATGATGGTTCAAAATGGGATGCTTATACTTGTTAAAGAGTTAATGCATTTCAAGGACTTGCATCGATGTCAGTGGATTTTCACAAAGCTGTGAAATTAATTCTGGCAGAAGGTTGCACATGCTCACCTGATATGTGTCCCACAGCCTGATAGTACATCGCAGCGGAAGCTCCCTCATCAGCAGGTTATTCATCCAACGGAAAGCAAACTGCAGGTATTCAACTTCATACTGATGTAAGTGTTTATGTACTTGCACTGAGAGAAAGAAAGAAATAGGTTAAGTTACACATCACAATTTTTTAGGAAAGATCTGAAAGATTTAAAATTAGGAATTCTACAATACAGCTGAAAGTTATTCTGATTAATAATGAAAATACGTTTCTGCTTAACTCCATGTTATCAAATATAAAGAATCAGCATAGAATTGATTTTCTGTACAACAACTTGCATTTATATAGTGCCCTTCACGCGGGATAGTGTATAATTATAACTTATGGTATAATCAATTACTGATCAAGAAGTGACAATGCAAGTGATCCCATTAAATATTTCTAGCTGGTGTTGCACATTAAATGCTTAAAATAGTTGATAAATAAGTTCTGGAAATGTTTTATGCCTGTTCCCTAAACAAATACAGTCACTACACTTTACAGTAAATCTTGGGAGTGCTCTGAGACATTGATGTCTATATCAATTGCAAGGACTATTTATTTTTGTAAAAAGTTCCTAGGTCAGTTACTTTCTAATACAAACAGCCAAAGCATGATACTTGGTTTTAAGCACATACGTTCTTATCAGATCATTTAAAGTCCAGGAGGAACACTTGAAAATATTGAGGCTATATGAAAACCACCTTATTTTTACTATGCCAGCAGAGAAGAATTGCCATTAACTGATACAAATCATTACAATAACAATTATTTGAGCCCCGTTACAATAATCATTGTATATGCACAGAAACTGATGTCAGGAGAGACCTAATGACACGGATGTCTGCCAGGTTCAGCTTGTAAAACTCCAGTTGGCATTTGGAAACGATACACAGCTTCCTGTGCAATTTGGATTATTTGGTATAAGTAAATGTCAGTCCAAATTACACTTCAAGCAAAATATTTCAATGAATGAAGCCTGTTGTGATGGAGTTCTGTTGTACTTTGCAAAGCTACAAGTCACCAGGAAACATATTGATTCTACCTACCCTCAAGACAAAATTAACTTATTGATGAATATTTCATCAGTATTTAAGAGCAGTTCATGGCTCAACTGACAAGTCGTCTTGGACAAAGACAATTCTGTTTTGTGACCTTTACAGGAAAATATGGCAAGCTAGGTTCAATATTAAAATAAGCAAATTGTAGTTTTCCACAGAACATTTCATTGAGCCAATTAAGCTGCAAATGTGAGGGTGAAAATGTCACCATCAGGACCCATTAGCTGTGTCCCAGTTTGCTCATCAGTCACTTGAGCTGTGTGTAAAAATATTAGTTTTTACACACACAGAAGGGAGAAATTGGGAGAGGGGCTAGTGTCTCATTGGGGCTCAATTGGCTCTGAGGAAATATGTCTGACAAATGCGGGCAGGTCCATAGTAATCAGGTGATGTAAATATGTCCTGAGATTACAAGACATCTCAGACAAGTACCATAGAATCGAAGAATTATACAGCGTAGAAGGAGGCCATTCGGTCCACCGTGTCTGGGCGGCTCTTTGGAAAGAGCTGTCCGATTCAATCCCAATCCACCGCTCTCTCCCCATAGCCCTGCAAACTTGTCCTCCCCAAATAATTATCTACTTCTCCCTTAAAAGTTGTTAATGAATCGACTTCCACCACTCTTTCAGGCAATGTATTCCAGATCCCAACAACTCGCTGTGTGAAAAAAATTCTCCTCACATCCACTCGTTTCTTTTAACAACTATTTTAAATCAGTGTCCTCGGGTTACCGACCCATGCGCCAGTGGAAGTAGTTTTCCTTATTCACCCTATAGAATCCCCTCATAAATTTTGAAAACTTCCATTAAGTCTCCTCTTAACTTTCTCTGCTCCAAGGAGAATAATCCGAGCTTCTCCAGCCTCTCCTGGTAACTGAAGTCCCTCATTCCTGGTACCATCCTGGTAAACCTCCTTTGCACCCTCTCCAATGCCTTGATATCCTTCTTAAAATGTAGGCCCAGAACTGAACACAGTACTTTAGCTGAGGTTTAACCAGTGTTTTAAAAAGGTTCATCATAACTTCCTGACTTTGTATTCTATGCCCCTATTTGTAAAGCCTAGTATCCCATATGCTTTTTTAACAGCTGTATCTACCTGTCCTGACATCTTCAATGATTTACTTATATGAACCCCCAGGTCTCTCTGTTCCTTCACCCCCTTTAAGATTGTACCATCAGCTTATATTGCCTCTCCTCATTCTTCCTCCCAAAGTGCATCACTTCGCATTTCTCCACATCTGCCACCTGTCGGCCCATTTTACCAGTCTGTCTCTGTCCATTTGCAGTGCTACTATCCTCCTCACAGTTTACTACTTTTCCTGGCTTAGTATCATCTGCAAATTTGGAAATTGTACTCCCTGTACACAAGTCCAGGTCACTTATATAGATCAAAAACAGCAGTGGTCCCAATACTGACCCCTGGGGGACACCACTGCACACTTCCATCCAGTCAGAAAAACAACATTCACCACCACTCTCTGCTTTCTGTCTCCCAGACAGTTCTGTATCCATGCTGCCACTGTCCCTTTAGTACCGTGGGCTTCTATTTTGTTTACAAGTCTCTTATGTGGCACTTTATATACATGAAAAGCGCTATATCAAATGCAAGGATTATTATTATTAATAAACACTTTTTGAAAATCCATATAAATTATATCAACTGCACTAACTTCATCCACCCCTTCTGTTACTTCATCAAAAAACTCTATCAAGTTTGTTAGACACAATTTGCCTTTAACAAATCCATGTTGGTTGTCCTTTATTAATCCATATTTTAACCCAAGTAAAAATGTATTTTGTCCCGGATTATAACCTGCAGTTTGTGGATTTATCTTTCTGCCCCTTTTTGTACAGGGAGTAACATTTGCAACCCTCCAGTCCACTGACACCACCCAACGTTGCTTGAAAGATTGTGGCCAGAGCCTCCGCTATTTCCACCCTTACTTCCCTCAGTAACCTGGGATGCATCCCGTCCGGACCAGGCGACTTATCTAGCTTGAGCTCCGTCAACCTTTTTAGTACCACGTGGTGGCATTATTTTTACAATTATCTGCGACTTGAACACATAATCTGATAAATAGCAAATTGATTGTTGGTTTCAGAGAGAGAAATCAGAAAGGAAAACAGAAAGGTGAATCAAAGAAATATTTTAAAACATCTCAGCTTCACCAAAGTGGATGACCCAATAAGTTCCACACTGTAGAAGAGATCATTCTCTGTTGTCAGTCCACTATATATCTTGCATTATTCACTATAGTCTTTGTGTTAGGTCATTGTGTTAGGCTGAATACTGTTCATCTATACATCAAGTAAACACAAAAGTTCAGACAGAGATTGTGCAGCATCATAGTATTTTGTCCATCACTGTGACACTAGCAAGACTATAATCTATTTTATTGGAGCAATGTACTTCATAACAGTTTGCCTTTGGATCCACAAAATAAATTTGCTATTGTAAAGCAGAGACACTGTACTAGGGAAAATACACAGACACTCTTTTGGCATTCATCTGTTCCTTAGCTGACTCAAGTTGATGAATGACATTTTCTTTCCATAGGAAAGGTAAATCAAAAGGTAAATCAAATTATTAAGCATTTACTAAGCTTATACTGATGTCTCAAATAATTACAAAGGGTACAATAACCAATGAAAATGGGCAAGATCATATGGAATTTGTGAAAATAATATTACAAAAAAAACTGAAGAGATGAACTTAACAAACTTATAAACTTTCCAAGATTGATTTGGCAGACAATGATTTTACTGGAGATTGTGTTGGAATAAATAAACGTTTTGACTCCCGTCTTCTGGAGTCTGTGACTCAGTTGAAATGAAATGTTAAGTGTGTGGGCACAATATCATTTACAGAACTGAACAGGACTTTCAACTGCAAAGCTTGTTCTTATAACTATGTCTGCTCAAGACCCAAGGATTTGACTAGCTAAAGCTAATAATTGAAGCACAAACTATCCTGGGCATACATTTCTACAATTGCAAACATATCATTTATATAAACATTAAGGCAAAATAGGTTTCCTATCCTCAAAGAAAAAAAGGTATTAGTACACATTCTTTTAAAAAACATTGCTTTACCATAAAAGTCAATGAACATATAATAACTTGAAGGGGAATTTTATGACTTGCAAAACTTTAATGCACCTAACACACCGTAAGATTTTACCAGTTTTTACAAAAAGTTTAGATGTGAAATAAATCAATGACTATTAAATATGAATATACCTAATTATTTTGGCAGAGTCGACAGGAATCCTGCCTCTGGATCAGAAAGTTGTGGGTTCAAACTCCACATTACGATGAGTCCAGGATGACACCTTATTATAATATTGGAAAAGTTTACCATTGTCAGTGGTACCAACCTTTAGTTGCGACGTTACATTGAGGACCAGCCCACCTGTTCTGAAGGACATAAGATCCCATGACACTATTTGGAAGAATAATACAATTTATCCACGTGTCCTGGCCAACCAGATAAATTGGTCATTTATTTCATGACTTTTTGTTGGATCTTGTTTTGCACAAACTGGCTGCTGGATTCATCTTAAAATACACAATTACTACACTTGACAGCAATTACATGTGAAGTGCTTTGAGATTTATAGGCACTGTATCAAATGCAAGAATTATAATTGCAGTTTGATGTAGATATGTTCTGGGGGTGGAACTGCAGAAAAAATATTTGTTTCAATTTATTTTACAATAATAATGCCTCCAAAAAGCAATAATAAAAATGGTCATTTTCAATCCACAACTGCTTGTGGGACATTGCTGTGCACAATTGGCTGCCGCGTTTCGCCCACAAATATACAGTCAATTCACTTTACAGCATTATTCTGTGAAGTACTTTGAGACGTCTAGAAGACGTGAAAAGCGCTATACCAAATGCAAGGATTATTATTATCCCTTTAACACAAGCCATGCAATACCCATTCGATCAATATGTGCAAGAAATTCACAGTTAAGTGAAAATTGTTGTTGTCTAAGTATCATCAATGTTACAGCACTCGCCTCACAAGCGAGAGACCTGG